CGAGGCCCCGGAGCTGCTGCGGCACGGGCATCGTCGTGCAAGATACTCTATGATATGGCACTCAAGTATATAAGGGACCCCGAAAGCACATAATAAGCATAATAAGCATTTATGGTGTTCAGGGTTGGAGGTCGAAAGCTTCTGTTGCAGCAGCAACAACAACAACTACTACTATACTTCTTCTGGAAATGCCTTAATGACTGTACAGTCAATTATATAGCCCGCAGCCGCAGCACTCTTCCTCGTCCTCGCTGATCTGACTCTTGAGGGATGGAGTCCATTCCCCGGGTTTGTCCGGGGACTCCATGGGCTCCTCATCTGCTACCGCCGGCTCCACCGGCATCTGCAGCGCCTGCTGCTCTCCAAATCCTTAGTTGCTTAAGGGATATACAGAATTTAGAATTAAGATTGAGGTTCATTTAGGGTTCAAATGTCGAGTGTCCGCCACCAGCCGGCCGTACCGGCATCTGCAGCTCCTGCCGCACTCCAAATCCTTAGTTGCTTAAGGGATATACAGAATTTAGAATTAAGATTGAGGTTCATTTAGGGTTCAAATGTCGAGTGTCCGCCATCAGCCGGCCGTACCGGCATCTGCAGCTCCGGCAGCACTCCAAATCCTTAGTTGCTTAAGGGATATACAGAATTTAGAATTAAGATTGAGGTTCATTTAGGGTTCAAATGTCGAGTGTCCGCCATCGAGCGTTTCCAGCGAGCCGAATCCTGGGGAAGGGAGATTTGCCAGCAGCCACGAAGAAGGTTTAACGTATGTAAGTCCAGCGTCCGATCATGCGTCCCGACTGCGTCATTCGCGGCCCGCTGCAACTGCCCATGGTGCCGCCGCCGCTGCCCAAAGTCGTCATGTGCCCGAAGCCTTAAAGCACGTAAGCAAAACAATAGGATGGGGATGTCCCTTATTATACATTTGCAATCGAGGAACTGCTGCGCGAGCGGTCCGAGTTGCTTGGGGTCACGTAGTGATCAGGACGAAATCTGCACCAGAAGTGCACGTGCGCATACGTATGTATTCAGCTAGATTGAAACATTGAACTCTGAGAAGCCAAGCTGCCGCAAGTGGGCGCTGTGAGGGCCCATGGCTGGGCATGGACCCGGCCCAGAAATCCGAGGGCGAAGCCGCAGAGGCGGAAGCTCCAACGTCTCTTTTTCCATGCGGCTTAAGGCGTCCATGGCCGGTGAAACAGAAAACCAAACACAATATTGAGCAGGGGATGCTGCATGGGATGCAAACGTTCATGCAGCTGCTTCGATCATGCATGCAAGTTGCTAGACTGTCTGCCTCTCGGCCGGGTGCATGCAGGCAGTCCTTATCCACCGAAGTCGGAGTGAGATGGAGAAGGCCTGTGGCCGACAAAGTACAATTAGCCTGCAAACTATCCGGGCCACAAGCGAACACTTGCCGCGGCCTCTCCGGCGAAGAAACCTGGCGCAGTACTGCGATGGCACAGAACTCCGATGTCGAAGCCAGTGAAAGCTGCGGGAGCAGGCCTATATGGAAGCTGTAGGGATATGTCGAAGGGCACGAGGGCGAGGATGCAACCTGGCAGACACGGTAATCTTGAGATTAGAATTTTACGAGAACTATGATTTAAGCAAGCCTGTGGTGCCTTCGATCCAGTCGAAATTGCACGGCCCAAGGAGACAGAAATTAGGGTTTCAGGTGTTCGATCTATTTACGTACGTACATATCTAGGCTATCTACATATACTATGTCTATACGTGTGTGTATTCCATATATAGTGCAAGTGCCCACTATATACCCCTTTCCAGCAGTACTTGCCTCAAGGCGGAAGCAAGCGAACATGCTCAAGCTTCCATGTTGCTAAGCAATGCATACAACACGCGCGAGCCCACTCGTTTTTTTCTGATCGCTCGAGGCTTCTGTCTAGTAGCCAGATCGTTTAATGATCTGGCGTAGTGCATCGCGATCAAAAATGGCACCAAAGTCCGTCACATAGACGTCTATACCCATCATGTCCATATGCTTGAGCTGCCGCTTGAAGTGCTCGACCTGCTCCTGGCTGTACGGCCCGAAGCCGCCTTGCCCAGCGTCGCCTCCAGCGTCGGCACCCGAAACGCTGCTGTCATCTGCAGTGGATCCTGCAGCGGCACCCAAAACGGGGCCGGTGGCACTGCTGCCAGTCGAAGTCGAAGCAGCTGGGCCGCTGCTGTCAGTCGAAGCAACTGGGCCGCTGCTGTCAGTCGAAGCAACTGGGCCGCTGCTGTCAGTCCCTGCGGTGCCCGTGGCGCCACTGCTGCCAGTCGAAGCACCTGGGGACTCACGCTTACGGCCGGCACCACCAAAGATGCCATCGCTTTGATTGTTGAGGAAACCTCTCTGCATGATCGAGCGCAGCTAAATGCAGGATTGCTTGGGCCGTGCACCAAAAACTGCAGAAAGCACATCTCACCCTGCCCTGCGAGGATGCACAGGTAAGTCTTCTGAGCCTGCAGCGCTTGACTGGTTTGAGTGCACAGGTGAGCTTGCGAGGATGTGCCAGCGCAAGTCGGCACTGATCCACCAGTGCACACTTTCCAGCGTGTGAATCTCCGAGGGTGTCAGGTATTGGCCCAGAAATTCACAGACCAAGGGCAAAGCGCAAGCCACAATCAACGGAGGATCACGATCAATGGACACTGAGCGGGCGGCCCCCTCTAGCGTGTGAATCTCCGAGGGTGTAAGGTATTGGCCCAGACAATTGCAGACCAAGTGTAAACGACACACAACAATCAACCCAGGCTCACGATCGACTGCAACGGACACGGAGCGGGTGGCCATCAAAGCTGCGTGCTTTGTTTATAATAGATCGAACTATGGCGATGTCAAAGTATTCTGTTTGCACAGCTGTTTCTCGGTGTGGTAATTGCCAACGACCGATTCTGCAGCCATATCTTAAGATGTGTGATTTTGCTATAGTCATGTACACTTAAATCTGAAAGTCATATAGGTCCAAAACATCATGATGAGCCTCTGACTGCGGACAAAACCGACCAGTTTTCCCAATCAACCCAGGCTCACAATCGAGTGCAACGGACACGGGCCGGACCATGCATAAGCGAAGCTGTGTGCTTTTTTATAAAAGCACGATGGTGATGTGAAAGTATTTTGTTTGCACAGCTGTTTCCCGGTGTGGCAATTGCCAACGCCCGATTCTGCAGCCACTCGGTGCTTGGGCTCTCGGTGCTTGGGAGGCTCTCGGTGCTTGGGCTCTCGGTGCTTCGGCTCTCGGTGCTTGGGCTCTCGGTGCTTCGGCTCTCGGTGCTTCGGCTCTCGGTGCTTGGGCTGAGGGGCGGCAAGAGTGTACAGTTATAACACACGTTTCTCGGGGTGGCAAAATGCCATCGCCCTGGTATAATACGCATACGATGTGTCATTTTCGCTCAACATATGTGCACTATCAAAGTCGTATAGGCATAAAATATCGCCTGAGGAGCCTCTGACTGCGGACAAAATCACATAGTTTTCAAAGGACCTATCAATCGAACGTTAAGAAACATCAAATAGCCAGCCCCTTTGGGGAAGAAACGACACATGACAGCAAACACCACGCGACGTTTAAGAAACGACAAAGGGCTGTCCAGGCAGGGAAATCACCGAACACCATCTTGAAACATTTGGGTCCGGTTCGGACTTTTTGCGAGTGGCTTTTGAAAGCAAGTCAGACTCCGCCTTTTGCGGAAAAAGTCTTGTGGTCTTTCATTCATTGTGTCCTCAAGATGCCTAAGACTGCGGCCACCACACTGGACAGTAGTCTGCGTGCTATCAAGTGGAGTTATTATACCTTGGGACTACGTGTTCAACTAGAGGTCTTCAGCAGCCCTCGAATTCATGGTGTGGTGAAGAAGGCGCTACAGACTAAAAACCCGTGGTGCCCGGCGTCACCCCTCAAGGTGTTCGAAGTTCTCCAACTGCATGCGATCTGTTGTGATCCCTCTATTTCTGTCATTGATAGATGCGGGGCGGCGCATTTCCTTGCCATGCTCTATGCGAGGGCAACATCCGATGTGTCAAACGTATTTTGATAGACGTGCACAACGAGGACTGGAGTTCAGGTTTCATTGAGTTAGGGACGCTGGAGCACAAGACGTCTAGGCTGGACACTCAGCGACGTCGTATATTGCCTCTGGTGATTCCTGGCCAGGGTATTGCCAAAACCCCTTTTGGTCAGCTCCTCCTGGACATTAGGGCTGAGGCCGGTTTGCCGAATGATCAGGCGGATGTTCCATTTTTGCCAGCGCCTCTGCCGGATGGATCGTGGTCCTCCGACCCGCTGTCTAGTAGCGAAATTACCAGGTGGCTGAGGTATTTACTGCCACGTCCATCGACGGAACAGGCCGTGAGTTCGCACTCGTTGAAGGTTACCTCACTTGTTTGGTGTAGCAAATTTGGGATGCTTCGCGAAACTAAGCGAGTTCTAGGTCGTCACTCGGATGCTGCGACTGGCAGCGATGCAGTTTATGGACGTGAGTTGCAGAGTGCGGCACTGCGTGAGTATGTTGTCGTGCTGGATGCAGTCGCGACGGGTAAATTCTTGCCGGACCAGACTCGTTCGGGTCATTTCGCATCAGGTTGGACTCGGGAATCTATCCTGCAGGCAGCTGCTTTTCCACAGGACTCGGAAGTCCTGGAGGAGGCTGTGGAGGATGATCAAGATGAGGCTTTGGCTGTGGTTTCTGATGTTTCAGACTCTGATGAAGAAGCCCCGGAGGAACAATCCTTCTGGGCTCATCCGACTAGCCAGGTCCTACATCGCACGACTTTGGGGTCGGCAATGTTTTTGTGTGGCAGAGCTTTTGGCGATCATTATCGGCGCATTCCTATGGCTCGGGCGCAAGCGCACCCGCAATGTTCCAAGTGTTTTCCACGGAGCGCAGTTTGATTTCTTGGCCTGCTCGAAAAGCAAACAGTTGCTCTATTCTAGTGCTCGGTGTGCATTGTGAGAGCTGCGTCTTCGATAGCTTTTTCGGTTGCCAGGTATTTAGCCATGACGAGTTCCGTAGATTCGGCGCCTTTCTTTGTGCAGCGAGCAGATGAAATCTCGCTCGCCAAGCGAGTAGTGGATGCCTTGAAAGGTAAAGGGGTGTCTACTTTGGCCCAGCTGGCCTTCTGTGTCGGACAACCGGGACAGGTGCTATCTCAGACTGAGTTTGACACGTGGAGCGAGGCCTTGTTGGTAGGAATCACCGTGGGCGAGAAGGCGTCTTTAAGGCGCCTGATCTTGGAAGCTCAGACCATGCTAGTGGCTTCTTTGAAGGATTTGGCAGAACCGGCTGAACACGCTTCCCCTAAAAAGGTGGGGGTAGCCGAGCGGAATGCTCGCATGGATCAGCTCCGGACTCAGCTCGCCGGAGTTTCGCTTACTGGACAACTTGAGCCGAGTCATGCATTACTTGACATGGCCGTTCAGCAGTGGGAGAGTCGGTGCCTGAAGTACATCGGTCCAGAGAAGTGTCATAGCCGTGAGGATGAGGTTCAGAACGTCAAGCCTTTGACCACCAGTCTGTCCTTGGAAGGCGGTAAGTTGAAGGTTACGGAGGCTGCTGGTGTGGATGATCGCGATATTGAGGGCTCTTTGCAAGTCCTTAATGCCTTGCGCCGCAGAGGAGTGGCTTATGCATTTGCTCGCTTGATCAGCTGGGAAAGACATGAAGCTTATGTCTCATCTTTGTTCAGGTATTTGACCAAGCCTGCTCAGCCTGGTTACAGGAAGGTGTCTCTTCGTCAGATCTTGCGGGCTGATAAGCTTGCCTTTTCCAAGTTGTCCGAGGCAGGTGAGGACATCCGAGCAGATGCTTCTGGCATTCTTCCGCTCGATGCCGCGATCGGGGCTATTCTTCACGATTACGACCTAATTGTAGCTCTTTTGCCTATGGGTGATTTGGATGGTAAGGGCAAGAATGCTAATGGCCGTGGCGGGCGCCCGGGTCCTTACGGTGATGCTGCGCCCTGGAAGGGGGAGAATGGCAAAGGTAAGGGTGGTTGGAACTCCAAAGGCTTTGATTATTGGACAGGGAAAGGCAAGAACACCTGGCAAGCTAAGGGCAAGTCGCCTAAGGGCAAAGGCTCGGGGGCCGGTAAGCCGGAATGGTTACCTGAGGGACTTCGCTTCCATGGAGCCTCTGCATGGAATCATAAAGGCAACAAGGTCTGTTACGGCTTCAACCTCGGCACTTGTTCGGATGCAAACTGCCAGAAGGGCGATCATACTTGCTGCATCTTCAAATGCGGCGGTGACCACCCGGTGGGTAAGTGTCCTTTGAAGCCTAAGAAGTTGTGACTAGCGGATCCCCCGCCTTGCCCTGTCGCTGTGGCGTTGGACGTGGAGATGGCATCTTCGGAAGAACCCGTTTCAGGTGGTATCTCTGTAGCTGATGTCGCGGCCCCGGCTTCGCTACCTTCTGGAGTAGGAGTGGACCCTGCTTCTAAGATGGTGGATGTCGACGATTCTCCGATTTTGGTAGAACCTACAGTTTTGGACCCTCCTACGATGCCGAGTGCTTCGTCTGAGTCGTTTTCCTTGGAGCACGCAGGGAGCGAGGGGGCGCTCCCCTCACCTCTCGTGGCATCGCAGGACAATTCTTCAGCCCCTCAGAGCCAGGAGCCAATCAGGGCCATTCTGCAGTGTTTTGCAGGCCAAGCTCGTGTGGCTTCAGCTTTGATTAAGCAGGGCTATTTTTCCTATGGAGTGGACCGCTTCAAGCAGAAGGCGGCTATGGCCCCAGTGCTTCAGATGGACATGTCGACGAGGGAGACTTGTGACTCTGTCCTAACATGGCTTGACAAAGGCAAGATTGCGGGTGTTATGATATGTATTCCTAAACATGCCTCGGAACCTGTCACTACAGCTTTCATTCTGGCAGTGATGGCGGGCTGCTTAAGCAACAACCTGCCCCTGATTCTTGAGGGTTCGGTGTCCTCACCATTTTGGGAGAGCTTGCAGCGCTTACCGTCAGCACAGCACCCTCCACACCAGGTGGAGGTGGATTGGCGGTTTTGGGACTCCCATAGCAAACAGCGCAGCCTCGTGTTGTCTAATATGCCAGAAGTCCTCACTGTGCGCAGGGAGGCGGCACCTGTGGGAGATAAGGTGCAACAGCGCTCGGAGGCGCAGACCGGCATCCGCCGGCTTTTGCCACGGCGGTAGCTGAGGTGTTCATCGCAGGTTTGACTCAGCGACAGCTGCCGTGTCGCAGCCCGGCCTTGACTAACAAATCGCTGCGGGTTTCGGCCATGAATCAGCCACGTGGAGTGATGCCGGAAGTGGTGTCTGAGTGGAAGTTGGTGGTTTACGTCCTTCTACCACCGCAGGTCGAGGATCCGTTTGGTGGGTCGAAGCGCCTTAAACAGGACTGGAAGGTTCCGCACGGCGCCCGTGTGCTGCCGGAGCTTAGGGCGCTCCCACAGGATTCCCAGCTTCTGTCGCGTACTCAGTCAGGGGGGCAATTGAGCCCGCAACTTCAGCAGGAAATGCAAAACTTGAATGGAGCCTCAGTTTTGCGAGTGGGCATCCCATGGGATCCTATTGAATTTATCGCCAAGGCAGGTAAGACTGGACACCCATACCATAAGTTATCCAAGTGCAACAAGGATCTCAGAGACCTTGTCCACGACCTAGTTCATAAACCGGGAATGGTTCGTTCTCAGAGGAAGAACTACATCGAGAAGTGGGCCAGACGAGCCAAAGAATTGGAACCAGAGGAAACCAAGCTGAAAGCTGGCATGTCGGATCACAGAAGGAAGATCCTTCAACCCAAACGTATCTTGTTGTTCGAAGAGATGCTGCGAGATATTGGGTATGATGATATGGGTGTGGTTCAGGAACTCATCGACGGAGCCACCCTGACGGGGGACATTCCTATCACTGGGGTGTTGGATACCAAGCTCAAGCCTGCTAGGTTGGACACTGAACATCTTTTGCGGATGTCTGATGAAATCAAACAGCAGATCCGGGCGAAGACTGGTTCATCGGGTGATAAGGAAATCGATCAGCTGTTGTGGGATAAGACGATGGAAGAGGTACAGAGTGGATACCTCTCGGGACCTTATGATTTCGAGTCATTGCCGAAACGATGTTTGGTCAGCTCCCGTTTTCCGTTGCTACAAGGAGATAAGCTGCGACCTATTGACAGCTACTCATCGAGTTTGATCAACGATACGGTCACAGTCTCTGAAAAGCCCATCACGCACTCTATCGACGAAATCGCTTTGTTGATAAATACACTTTCGAGTGCTGCTCGAAAGAAGAACTTGAATGCATTGTACGGGAAAACAGCGGATCTGAAGGGAGCTTACAGACAACTGGCGGTGTCTGATACAAGCTTAGATTTTTCTTACCTCGCGGTCTACGACCCGGCGGAGGAGAAGCCCAAGTTGTTCCAACAACTAGCTGTGCCTTTCGGCTCTACCAAGGCCGTGTACTTTTTCCTTAGAGTGGCAAGGGCTCTTTGGACTATCTTGGTCAAAGGGGCCAAAATCCCAACCACGAATTATTTCGACGATTTTGTTCTGCTCGCTCTTGGAGGAGATAGGAGTTCGTGTTCACACGCTTTCGATGAAGTTATGAAGCTGCTAGGTTGGAAGCTGTCAGCTGATAAAACAACGGAGTGGAACACTAGTTTCGAGGCCCTCGGGGTTCTTTTCGAGCTTGACCAGACGGGGTCCGGAGTGCTGAAGGTCAAGAACACTGAGAAACGACGCAAGGAACTCACTGCTGCGATCAAAGGTTTTCTGGACAAGGGAACCATGACTCAGAAGGAAGCTCTACAACTGCGGGGTAGGCTGCAGTTTGCTCAAGCCCAGTTTTTCGGTAGGCTGGGAAGAAGGTGCCTGACGGAGGTGACAAAGCATGCCTACACTGGCAGGTCAAAGCTTTCGTCGATGGCCAAGGAACGACTTGAAGAGTTTGGTAAGTTCCTTGACATGGCCCAACCGAGGCTAGTGGGACAAGTTTCATGCAGGACTTTTATGATCCTTACCGATGCGGCGTTTGAAACGGAGTCGGGAACTGGAGGACTGGGGGGCGTCCTTCTCACCGGGTCAGGTTCGGCACTCTCTTTCTTCAGTGTGCCGATCTCAGAGCAGCAAGCCAAGGCTATGTCGTTGCAGGATGAGCATACCATCATATATGAACTAGAGATGTTCGGGGTCTTGATCGGTCTCAAGCTCTTGGTCGAAAAGACGGCTGCTTTCGCAGAATCATACGAACAGCCAGGTGCTGTTGCTGGGACTGGAGTGATTTGTTATATCGATAATGATGCTGCGAGACATGCATACATCGCCGGCTCTTCGAAGAAAGGGGTCGCGGGGATTCTTATCGATGAAGTCAATTTCCTGGAGTATGTCCACGGCATCTTGCCGTGGTATGCGAGAGTGGCATCACCTGCTAATCTGGCAGATGAACCATCGAGGATGAAACTTGATAGAGTCAAGAGACTAGGATTCAAAGACGAGTCTGTCGAGGCGACCAAAGCGGTGTTATCGATTGTGAAGAGAGTTCCGAATCTGCCTGCTTAACACTGCGACTCCTGGAAGTGGGGACAAAAAGAGTCTTGTGTCTCACAGGACCGACAGTTCGGAGTTTTCTGCCGTGTGCGGTACTTGCTACCCCAACGTGTGAAAATAGCGTCGAGCTTTGAACTACTTGCATGTGACATGTGCGAGTGCAAGCATTTATCCCTGAAGGTTCAAACATGATTGACATCAAAACACAAAGCACGATCTTCGAACGATAAGTTACATTCAACACTTGCAGAAGATATGGCTTTATCGTTTGAAGAAAAACAACATGACAAAATGGCTCAGAGAACTGAGTCCAATTTTGATTTGTTGTTTTAGGGCTTTTCCTTTACACTGCCTTTTTATGAACCCTCATTCATACATGCTGTAAACAAGTTGAAGAACACATTCGTCCGTTGCAGCTTGACCTCTCGAAGGGGCAGGAAGCCCTGGGATCGGGCGAGAGTTTTATTTGAAATACCCACCCTCTCCACCCTAATTGATTCGTGGAAAGTGCAGAGATTGCATCAGTTTGTGCTACCTCAGGAAGCTTTGGACCTCAGTTTGAGGACACTCAGGTATGCTTTATGCATAAGACCTGGTTCGGGTCTTGGCTCTCTGCTTCGCAGTTACTCGGTCTTGCTCGTCTTCGACTGGCAGGCCGTTCACTAAGGTTCAGTTTGTGAGCCGTGCACGGCTTGAGAGTGGCTAGTTCTCCTTTCGGAGGGGACAAAAAGAGTCTTGTGTCTCACAGGACCGACAGTTCGAAGTTTTCTGCCGTGTGCGGTACTTGCTACCCCAATGTGTGAAAATAGCGTCGAGCTTTGAACTACTTGCATGTGACATGTGCGAGTGCAAGCATTTATCCCTGAAGGTTCAAACATGATTGACATCAAAACACAAAGCACGATCTTCGAACGATAACAATAACAGGTTTTGGGGTCTCTGGGTTTTGGGCAGTCAATGAAGATCGCTTGCGCTGCGACTTCGCACATTGCAGAGTCTTTTTGCTTGGACAAGGGTTGCCAACATGCCCTACCAACCTGATTTTTGCCATCGCAACTGTGCCGCACTCCAACATCACAAGCTTTGAAGCATTTTACTTGCAGTCCAATTTTGTTGCTCAGTTGGTGACCGCTCGAGGTTCCTCTGCGGGTTTCTCCTTCAGGTCCTAAATGGGTCCATTGTATTCATTTGACCCCCTCAACCCCCGTAAAGCAACGTTGATCGATTTTGTGATCATATCTGGGACTAGCAAAGATACACATTATCGCACTTTCTTCAGCTCGCACAACAGACGCCAACTGCACCAACCAGCAACTCTACAGGCCTGGTTTTCAATTTCTGTCTTTCCGGCAAAACGAGCACTAATTCAGTTTCCTAGACTGCTGGAACTATTATGGTTTTTGTGTCAAAGCGAAACAAAGTACTTAGAGTTGGAAACGCAAGCTGGTTAAACAAAACTTTCCACGCGAGAAAAGCAATTTTGACCCAGGTTTGTGGATGGACATACAGCAGCACTTGCATTTGTTCATGGCGAAATCAGAAAGGTGCACATCAATTGTTCATGGACGTTTTGAAGCTTGGGGAAATCCATGTCTTTGTATTTCCGGGCAGCCTCCCATGTGCCTGTCAGACTGAGCTAAACTTGTCCGCTGTTACACCATGAATCAGAGGAGCAGACCGTCCGATGTAAAATTGTTCTTCGTGCCTTTGTAGATTGCTGATCGGTTGACCGTTCAACGATGCACTAGCCTCGACCCCAACGTCATCGGAGAGCGTCGCTCAGTGTTTCGTTGTTGCACGTTTGTCTTTGTGTGGTTAGTTGTAAATCATGCACATGTTTGCGAACTGACCTTTCCGTCGCAGTTGGGCTCGGTAGTCCTTCACAGTAGTTTGTTGTTTAAGAAAGCCGACGTGATGACATGATGGCCTCAACGTGTTTGGCAATCGTTGGGCTGTGCTGCACCGTTGTGGCAGCAGGACGCTTTGCCCAGCAACATTCCGCAGGACAGCATCAATTGCGCTCCGATCCAGACGAAACTAGTCAAACGCATGCCTAGTTCAATCACGTTCTGTGCATCATGTCAGCCTTGCAGGATCATTGCAGCATGTTGCCTTGTCCGAGTCCGTTGCGTCAACTGCCAACAACCGGGCGTTCTTCAAGGCGACAAGCACCAAGGATGGAACGGGTGCTGCAAACCGGAGACGGCATTCCAGAGAACTGCGTCGACCGTGAGTTCAGCAACCCTGAATGCTAAACTTACTTACAACGCAAATTCTAAACCCCAAGGGGCGCAGTATTGTGCCTTGCAGCAGGACATGTCGGACGAAGAGGCCTGTCAGAGCCAGGTTGCGAGCTTTGATCGCCACGTCAAGGAGTCTGGTACGTTTGCAACTGGTTATCAACACCAAGTTTGTGTACGTCTGCTATTTCAATACTTCTATGATGTTTTATAATATTCTTCTTCTTCTATGTGTTGTTACCGTCTTTCTTTGACTCTTTGATACTATGTCTCTACTACTGCCAGTACTGCTGCTTTTGCTGGTGCCGCTACTGCTGCTACAGCTATTGTTCCGGCTATTGGTTTCAATATTGCTGCTGCTGCACGACTGCTACTGCAACTACGGCTACTACTACAACTACTACTACTACCACTACTACTACTACTACTACTACTACTACTACTACTACTACTACTACTTCTATTATTATTACTACTACGATTACGACGACTACTACTACTACTACTATTATTACTACTACGACTACGACTACGACTACGACTACGACTACTACTACTACTACTACTGCTGCTACCACTCGTCGTTGTAGTGGTAGATGTTGTTACCGTTGTTGTGGTAGGAGGAAAAGGAGCTAAACAATTCTAAATACGGCAGCAGCTATTGCTGCTATACTACTTCTACTGCGACTACAACGCTGACGACTGCTTCTGCTGCTACTATTACCATTACGAGTAGCAGAAGTAGTAGTAGCAGTAGTAGTAGTAGTAGCAGCAATAATAATAGTAGTAGTAGTAGCAGCAGTAGTAGTAGCAGCAGGAGTAGTAGTAGTAGTAATAATAGTAGTGGTAGCGGTAGTGGTAGTGGTAGTGGTAGCAGCAATGATAACAGGAAGTCTTATCATAAGACAAACAGTTGTAGTAGTAGTAGGAGTAGGAGAAGGAGAAGAAGTAGGAGTAGGAGTATTTAGTCCATTCTGTGGTTTTGATGGCGGCTCTGTTGTTGCATCACAGCACCTTCATGTCCGTAGCCTCAGACGCCTTTGAAGCAGAAGCCTTTATCGTACCCAGTACTTTCGTAAACACCCCCTAGAGCCAGTAGAGTAGCCTTTCTGAGACACCCTCCAGTAACCTTGTAGTAACTCGTGGAGACATGCAGGAGTTTTGTGAGCAAATCCGGCCAGCTCTCCGGAACGGGTCCTACGCCTGGTTGACCTATATCTCGGACGTGCGCGCCACAGACATGGCGAAAAGCATCTCCGATGCGTTGTGGGCTGGCAAGCCGGATGCTTCATCTGGGTTTCTTTTTGCCCGCGCGTCCTTTAGGGAGAAGGGCCTCTTGCTCTGGAGCGGGGCTCCTGTACGATCAAGACAGTTTTGGTGCGAGGAGCTGGGTTTGTACTTGTTTCTTGACATCAGTCGCCACTGTTGTACGGACTGTCGTTACGCCCTTTCAGAGTTGCGGTGTCGTTGCGTAGGTATTCGTGAGAAAGACAAGAGAACTGCTTTGGCTTGAGTGCACGGCTTGAACTCAGGTTGCACGACGACGTCCTGGGTGATGAATTTCGAACACCCTTTGGATCCCTTCTGGAGATGGAGGGCGTGAAGGACTCGCAAGGCAGACTTTTTGGGAGTTGTGAGTGGGAGCGAGCGGGCCCACTCTGGCGGTCGGCATCCGAGGCGGTGGTTCGAAGAAGTTCGCAGGAGCTGGCTGTCCGGGTGCTTTTGAAGAAAGCCTTGGTTGGGAAAGAGTGGACACTGGCGGAGACTGCCTTTTTCCAGTTCGAGCTAGTGGGCCTGGCCAGACATCCCCCCAAAGGGGGGATGAAGATCCTGAATGCCCATGAGAGCGTGAAGTGTGTCCACGTTATGCCCCTACTCCGTGCGAGAATCGAGGAGGTGGGCTCCGAAAAGGATTGGAAGTCAGTTCAGAGCTTCTCCTGCGTGGACGTCCCGGAGCTTCCCCAAAAAGGCAAGGCGAGAGATCTGGATTCGCAGGCTTTCGAATTTCCGAAACCTTGGTCCGATCTTGACCCGCAGTGCAAAGTCACCAACAAGGCCTGGGAGTCTCTCAGTGGGGGTTCCTACTTCTTGTTGTAGAAACCTTCAGAGAGCCTTTCAAGGGACCCTTAAGGCTACTGAAGGGTTCTAAACAGGGTTCCCTTTTGATGAACTCCAGACTTCTATGACAGAGTTCCTATTAAGGGATTTTATGTTTCAGTGACAGGGCTCCCTTTTACGGAACTCGTTTCCTGTAAAGGAGCTCTTATCTTTAAAACTTTAGTTAACGAAGCCCTTATGGTAGCCTTTACAGCCCCTACGCCCTAAGCCCTAAACCAAGCCTTTACAGGAACCCGTGGTAAGAAAAAGCTTTTCAGCACCATTCAGCACCCGCGGAGGCCCTGACGCGGCCGCTGTTTCAGGACTGCCTCTCACAAGGCCACGTCGACTGGAACGACCTCTTGCGGCTACCATGTCCTTGCTTAGGGGTTTTGGTAGGGTTTAGGACGGTTTAGGGTTCAGGGTTTGGGTTAGCGTACAGGGCGGTATGGGGTTTAAGGAATTGCGTGCGTGAAGGGTACATGTAAGGGTTTGGAGGTTTAGAGGGGTGTTACAGGCAGGGGGAATGCAAAGGGTTCTTAGGAAACTTCGATGGGTCGCTTGAGTTTAACTTACCATAAAAAGCGTAGGCCACCGAGTTTTTGCTGATGTTTGCTGTATGTCCTCCGTGGTCGAAGCTTGAACTAAGTTCGTTGCAGTAGCCCTTAACCCTAGGTAACCCTAAGCCTTCGATCCCAGGCTAAGTCACCAAGAGAACATCGTGGGCACCTCCGGTATTCTGCAAGAGCATGGGCCCCAGGTGGCTGTGGTACTCCCCGATTTTGTCCGCATGTTCCCGAGTCGGATGCTGGACGACCTGATCAACCTGCGGCGCTCAGGAGGGAGCCCCCCCGGACTGGCCGCAAAGGCGGCTACGGCGCTCCATTCATTGAGCAAATGGGAAATAGAGCCTGATCTTGCCACTCTCCAACTATTTCTCTCTGTACCTGATGACCACGTTCGCTGGAAAGCTGTGCGGCATTTGGGGCTCTTTTTCAGACAAGCCATCCACGACCCTGCGTCGGTGCTCACCTGTCTCTGGATGGCCATGAGCGACCCTAACCTTGACGTGCGTACGATAGTGGCAAGCATTTTGGCCTCGAGTCCCGACACGAGGCTAGTAGGGCCGGTACTCGAGACTGTGAAGAAAGTTCTGAGCGGAAACGCTGGATCCGTCTGGTATGGCTCTGCCGCACAGACGAAACTGGTCCTGGAAAGCGGCATCGCAGATGAGCGTGCTGTTAATACAGCTGTGACTGCGTTGGAATATCTCGGAGATCAACACTTTGGTGCAGTCCTGCCTGTTCTTGAACAAGCGGCCGCAAGTGGCAAGTTGCAGACTCGCCTCAGAATCGTGAAGGCCGCGGCTACCCTGTGCAAGAAAGACATCACCAGAAAGGGAGATCTTCGGCCGCTCCTACAGAAAGCTGCTGAAGATGTTGCTCCGGCTGTGAAACTTGACGCTCGCTCCGCACTGATCTTCTCCTGCGCAGATTCCAAATCTCTGAGCCAGAGCAATTGATGTACCGGCGGTCAAGCGAGGTGTCACCTTTTTCTCTGTGTATCGCTTTGAGTTCGAAGTGACAGCGGCTTTCGCGGGAATGATGCGAGGTATCATGTGAATCAAGTATCCGTCGTTGGCCTTTCGCTTTCCATCAGGGAGGTCCGATGCTGTCATGTGAGACAGAAGCTTTGCAATTGTGCACGGTCCTTAAAAAGCTTAGCACGCAGCCGTTTGTATTGCTGCCGTCTTGGCTCGTCCTGGTTTGCTTGATAGCATGGACTTCTTCTGTTGTGGCGAAAGAGACTGACAATTTAGACTTGTTGCAATCGACGTTAGCGTGAAATCCGCACCAAGCACGGCCAAGTGTTCATATCACTCACACCGTCGTACGAGGTGCAATAACTTACTTGGGTCATGCACTCCAGACTTACAAGGAAACATAGGATCTGCTGCTGGGGCACAGCCCAGTTCGCGCCAATTGGCTTCTGCATTCGCGGGTGCCTCAAGTGTGAGCACCCTCATGTTCCACATGGGTAGATGTCAAAATTATGGTCCCTTGTTGGGTCCTTATTATAATGCGGCTCCTAATATTTAGGGTACCCACAAAGGGACCCTAATTTTGACAACCACCCACATGTTTGGTCCGCAGAGTGCAGATCGGGGTCATGTGCTCATGTGTTGAGAATCGCAGGTATCGCACTCTAGTCCAGCATGCAGATTTAGGAGAACTTTTCAGGAAGAACTCCATCACACAGGAAATATCTCGGGGTCCCATTTTTTTACGGAACTTTGTATGTCGCGTTCTTGCCACTCGTGGTTGTTGACATTCTCTTGCTGAGGTCGACGTCATGTCGCATGCAACGTGCTCCCGCGGTTGCACGAGTTTTTCTTGACTTGATCCTGAATGCATAAGCCCGGAGCCCTAAAGCCCCAATGCCAACAGCCCCAAACCAAAATTCCAAACCGAAACATAAAACCCCCTAACCCCTCCCCGTAAACCCTAGCCGCATAAACCAAGCCCCTAAACCCGAACCCAAAAGTGCGCCTCCGCAACCCTGAAACCTCAAATCCTAAGGCCCAAACTCCAAACCTCTCCAAACCCTAATCCCTATATTTAAATCCTAAGCCCTAAACCCAGAACCCTGCACCCTAAACCCTTATAATCCCTAACCCCTAAACCCCGAACCCTAAACCCTTCAACCCTAAACTCCTAAACCCTGAACTCCTAAACCCTTCAGAACCTTTCCGGCCAGGTACCAAAACAAATGGGTGGAGTGTATGCAGGAGCTTATGGAGCAGGTAGGAGCCCGATTTTTCGGAGTGGTTCGGTTGATGATATAAATCCTGCATTACCTTAAGGACCCTAAACTATGGGAACTATGGTCTATTCCTTATTATGGGAAATGCAGGATTTATATCATCAACCGTAGGAGCCCATGGTTTCTTGAGGGTTTAGGGTTTCGGGTTAGATTTGTGTGGTCATATTTAAAGACATCTTTGTTGAGTTTTTGCTGTTCTTTGAAATCGCTGTTTTCACGATCATGCTGCGCTCATCATGCCTACAAGTTGCTTTGTCTTTCCATGCGAGCGCTGGTCAAAGGCGACCCATGCGGAGTTGCATTTGGATCCTGGGGAAAGATCTGTGCTTCCTCGAGGATCCCGTACATCAGGTAGTGCAATCCAAACCACATGGGAGTTTCTGGAAATGGGGGAACCAAATATAGTACCCTAAATAGTGGGATCCTTACTATAAGGACCCCAAGATAAGGTACCCCTAATTTTCGGAAACTCTCATGTAGGAACCTGATTAAGAAACCCTGGGCCTTGATTAGGGCTCTTCGTATGAATCCTTTCTATTCAGGGCTATAGCCCAGGGTGTCTTAATCAGGTTCCTACATCAGTTGTTTGAGGGTTTGGGTATTGATCTCCTTTTTCTGGAATGCCATAGCGGCAAGGCAGTTTAAGTCGCAAGAGCAAGAATTTTGGGCGTGGGGAGGTCAAACGAGCTGGCAGGCGTGAGGAAGTGCAGACGTCACCGTTCTGACATTCAGAACTGTCCGACACTGACATGCAGGTTCAAATCGAGTACCTGCCGGTGGATGCAAAGGAGTCATGTCCGCAATTGCATGGGCTGATCTGCAGAGTGAGAAGTGTCGACTGACAAGACTGTAGTAGCTAATCGCATAAGCAATGTGTGAAGACTCATTGCCATTGTTGTCATTGTCATAATATTCATCTTCATCATGATATCTGCAATATCAGCAGTGATGCCTGCTGTTGCGATGATTGCAACGGTAGTAACTGCTACTGGAGTAGATAAGTCTGAGTCTCAAATCCTAAAATTAACCCTGAGCTTTACGCGCCCAAAACGACAAGAAGGAGTTGCGGAGAACGGCGCCGAATCCCTAGTCTATTCATTAAAGCTACACCAGCGCAGCGTGGTTTAGGATTTAGGATTTAGGGTTAGGGTTTAGGGTTTAGGGGTTTAGGGTTTAGGGTTTAGGGTGTAGGGTTTAGGGGTTTAGGGTTTAGGGTTTAGGGTTGCAAAACGAGCACACGCCGAAGTCATGTCCGATGCGGCCTCCCTGGACACCTGCTCGGGCCTGCCGCCGAAAGCGCTTTCGGTCGAAACTGACTCCCCAGAGACTCCAATATCCCTTAATTATGGAATATTCTTTAAATCATATTAGGGATGCTACCATAATTTCAGGTATATTCCAAAATATTGGAGTCTCTGACTCTGCGAGCCGCGGAACCGAAGGGGCGGACAGCTACTCAATACGCCTTTGATGTACCCAGAGACTCCATTTGCCCCATCATCCCCCGAATTAAGGAATATACCGTAATAAATTATAGTAGGATCCCTACTATGGTTTAAGGTTTTTCCTTAATGAAGGGATAGTGGAGTCTCTGAGTAAGAAACCCTCCTAGCCCAGCAACGCGGCATTGTCGAAGGCAGCAGCTTTGGTTCGTTAGCCTCCAGACATGCTTTCTGATCCTGACGAAGCCGTAGACGTACCTTTGGTTAGTAGGGAATGGAAGACTGGTAGTAATAGTAGTTATAGTTGTACCCCATCCCTCCATTCCCTACTAAGCAAAGGTAAGTAGAACTCTCTGCCTTCAAGGAGAATGGTCAGCACTTTGAGCCCGGGCAGCGCACCCAGAGTCGGAGAGTCCTCTAAGCTTCCGCATTCCCTAGAATTCCCTAGATCCTACACCCCAAGCTTTGAGCCCATCACAAAACCCATAAAGCCTTAAAAGGCTCTTGCAGGACCCAGTCTCGACATGAAGTAGAATTTTGTATTTCGGGCTTGGTTCAGGTCGTAGCGGCTCAGTGCATCTTCAAGTTTACTTTGCAGGGTTGAGTTCAGGGCTGAAGGGGTCCTTTATGGCACTAGGTGATTGGGGTTTAGAGTCACGGGGGACATCCCTAAACCCTGAACCCTAAACCCTAAAAATAGGACCTCAAAGCGAGAATGTATCCACATCCCCAAGAAGCCTGGAACCTGAACTCACTCAAACCAAGCCCGAAGTCCAGTCTGCACATGAAACTTAAGTTGTTCATGAAAAATGAACGCATATGCATGCCGCTCGTACATACATACATACATACATACTTACTTACATCCATACATCCATGCATACATACATACCTACATACGTGCACGCATGCATACATACATACACCAAATACAAGTGCAAAAGTGCATATATATATATACATACACAATTATGTCTACATACATACGGACATACCACCTTCACCACCCATATTTGCACACACAGACACACACACACACACACATATATATATATATATATGTATATATATATATATATATATATACACGCATGTATGTATCCATGTGGTCACGTCCACCCCCCTTAAACCCCTCAAAGCCCTGAAACGAGGCCCTAGAAACCCCAAGGTTCCAGCACTTCGCGCTTCTGTACATCAAGTACTTGCAGATCTACAGGCGCATGCTGGGATTTTCCGAAATCGGGGGCCCTTCGCGGAGCATCAGAGCATTGGGGATCTCTAGAAGGCAGCAGCAGAGCAAGGGACTGTGAACCATAAGAAAGCTTGCGCTTCTGCATCTTTAAGGGGTCAGCATCAAATCCTTACATCTTCCATCTGAATTTCGGCATCGTCAGTGTGTGCCATCTTGCAGTACCCAGTTGGTTTGGCTCAGGGTTGTGGCGTGGGTCCTGGATCCAGGTTTCGTTTGGGGCTCAAGGTCGTGGTTGTTGCTGCTACTACTTCTACTGTTTCGCCTCCTCTTCCTCCTCCTCCTCCAGCTACCTACTCCCACTACTCCTACTACTCCTACTACTCCTACTACTCCTACTACTCCTACTACTCCTACTACTCCTACTACTCCTACTACTCCTACTCCTACCCCTACCCCTGGTACTGGTACTTGTACTGGTACTGGTACAGATACGGGTACTGGTACTGGTACTGGTACTGGTACTGCTGCTGCTGCTCCTACTCCTACTCCTACTACTCCTGCTCTTACTCCAACTCCAATTCCAACTCCAACTCAAACTCCTACTCCTACTCCTATTCCTGCTACTCCTACTACTACTACTACTACTAGTATTACTACCACTACTACTACTACTACTACTACTACTACTACTACTACTACTACTACTACTGCTTCTACTACTAGTATTAGTACTAGTACTAGTACTAGTACTAGTACTAGTACTAGTACTAGTACTAGTACTAGAACTAGTACTAGTACTAGTACTAGTACTAGGACTAGGACTAGGACTAGGACTAGGACTAGGACTACGACTACGACTACGACTACGACTACGACTACTACTACTACTACTACTACTACTACTACTAGTACTAGTACTAGTACCCCTAAATCCTAACCGCCGCCAATCCCCGCGCCTCTGATTCAAGACCCAGTGTTTTTGGGGTTCAGGTCTTTTTTATTGTCTGGCGACACATACCTTAAGCCCTGAATCCCAAAAGCCAGGCCCTAAGCCCGGGGCCCTTAGCCCAAAAACCCGAGAGCCTACAATCCCAAATCCTACGTCCCACACTCTTTGGCCCCGACCCAATCCCTTTGTGAGGAAGTTAGAGGAGTGCCACGACCAAATGGTGCACCCGCAAAAGCGCGGCAGCATCAAGAAGGCCCGGCTGTCGTCAAGCTAGGTTATTTTTTGACTTTACAGGTCAGGGATGAGGGACACCCTCTACTCTGAGCCTTAAGTCCTCAGATAGCAACCTCAGGCTGGAGGATTGCCTTTGTTCGTGTTCTTCTCATCGTGATGTTGCCAGTTTTTTTCATTCTTTGTTCTGTTTCTCCTCGTTCGTTGCTGCAGCTGTTGGTCCCTCTTCCTTTAACTGCTGATGCTACCGCTACACCCACCACCATCGCCATTACCAAGTGCTGGAAAGAAGGACCGTCGTGGGAAAGGCGATGATCACGGTGCTGATTATGACCATGATGCGACAGTAGCAGCGGAAAGTACAGAACTCAGAACAGCAATACTAGGAAGATCCCTACGCCCCGAACCCTGCAACCTAAACCCTAGAATATCCTACACCCTCCCCCAAACCCCTAAACCCTGAACCTTAAAAACCTTAAGTCACCTAAAGCCTAAAACCCCAAACCCTAGCCCCTAAACCCTAAACCCTAAGTCCCTTATTCCTTAAACCCTAAGTCAGGTCCTGAAGAGCACCATCATTCGAATCCTGGAGCTCAAAGAGCAGGCTTTTCGGGCCTTGAAGGAGGTTTTAGCAGGTCACTACAAGGGCTGTAAGGAGCTTTTATACTAATCATAGTAATATGATTGGATAGACAGTTTGTAGTACTAAGAAGGAGGAGATTAATTAATCGATACTTAATAGAAATGTATGCAAAGCGCGTTCTCATATCAGTGACAGATTCAGAAATCAGAAAAATTCAATTTCGGAAAGGTTACTACGGGGTTTTAAGGAGTTTCCATAAGGTTACCATAAGGGTATTGCGGGGTTCTTGCGTTTAGGTGGCCCGACTGGCATTGCTCTTGCTTTCAGGATGGGTCCTACTGTCTTGGGCATCTGGAACCAAGGGTTTCTCTGAATCCCAAACACTGAACCCTAAACCTAGAATATGTACCTCGAAGCCCAAATCGTCCTTGGATTCTTGAAAGAACGATCCGCCCAGGAATCCAGGAACCCTGGAATTGATGCCGGCGGTACCTGAACCCTGACTAAACCCCCAGCCCTAAACCCTAAATCCTAAACCCTAGACCCTAAACCCTAAAACCTAAATTAAAAGCCCTGGAGCCGGCAGCGCGTGCCAGCTTATCACCTTCAACCTGCGACCGCTGAACCGCTTCGTAGCTCTCGACGAGGTGCCGAGGATTTCGCGTATGTGAGTTTCGTGGGATCTGAGTCTCAGGATCTGGCGTTGTTATACAAAGTGATACAGCACTCTGTATAACTACACTTTACAAAGCCATACTACATCTACATCAAACTATACTCTACGAACCTATACTACACTAAACGATACTACCAAACCCTAAACCCTAAATTTCAAAACCCTAGTACCATGGGGGCTCTTAGACGCTTCGACGGTCAGGATGGAGGCTTTCGAATTGCAGGAGGCGGTTCTCCAGCATAGCTCTGAGCCTTGAAACTGTCCAGAGACACCAATATCCCTCATTCAAGATATGCCTAAGGATTCCTTTAAGGGATCCTATAAGGGATCTAGAGGGTTTAGGGTTTACGGTATCGGAGACTCCACTCCAATATCGTTAGATCAAGGAATATTCGATCCTACTATAATTTAGGGTATATTCCTGAAATCTCTGGGTGGCAGGCCTCTCCGTACCCGAAACCCAAGTAGACCAGGTTCAGAGTCTTAGATCGGTGTTGAGGGTTCAGGGTTTGAAACTAGGGTTTAGGCTTTAGGGGGTTTAGGGTTTTAGGGCTTCGAAACTAGGGTTTAGGGTTGAAGGTCCTTTTGGTGGAGGCCTTGTGCACCGAAGCATGCAAGCTGACACTCCCCAAAAGCATAGCAGCAGGGTTCTACTACGACTGCTTCTAATACGACTGCTACTACTACTACTACTACTACTACTACTACTACTCTTGCTACTACTACTACTACTACTACTACTACTACTACTACTACTACTACTACTACGACTACGACTACGACTACGACTACGACTACGACTACGACTACGACTACGACTACTACTACTACTACTACTACTACTACTACTACTACTACTAGTACTGCTACTACTACTACTGCTACTACTACTACTACTACTACTACTACTACTACTACTACTACTACTACTTCTACTACTACTTCTACTACGACTACGACTACGACTACGACTACGACTACGACTACGACTACGACTACGACTACGACTACGACTACGACTACTACTACTACTACTACTACTAGTACTAGTACTACTACTACTACTACTACTACTACTACTACTACTACTGAAGGCTGGTTTCCGGGGTTGAGAGGTTCCTGGCTAGCCTGTTCTTCGTGCCTTCTGTTTGCGGCAACGTTGTCCTCCACTTGACCTGCAAGCTAAACCCTACATGCTAAACCCCATAAACCCCTAAACCCTAAACCCTAAACTTGTTGGGAGACCACCACACCGATTTTGCAAACTGGCTAGGTAGCTGCTTCGGATTCTGTTTGGTGATTGTTGAAGCGGCGTGGTGCAGGATCGCTGTTGCTGGCACACTTCTTAGTGGATAGTGGAGTTTGCGATAATTAGAGGTACCTCATTTGGGTCCGCATAATTCGGGTTTTACCATTTCGGGTACTGTATTAGGATCCCCCCCATTTTCGGAAACCCCCATATTCTTCTCTGGTTGTCGCACCTGTGCCTGTGGAGATGGCAGCAGGAGTCTGAGGTCTCAGGTCTCAGGTGCGCTTCCTTGGAAGGCGTTTAGGGTTTAGGGTTTGGGGTTTGGGGTTTAGTGGTGTCTTGGCAACTTCAACTGTCTGTTCTTGATGCTCTTTGATTTCTGGGGCTTGGGTGGCACAAGTTCTGCCTGTCTTGAACCGACCTTCTTTGGAGGTGGCGGGATTCGCAAGTGCATCCAGACCTCATAGCAGCACAATGCAGCACAGGGTGGTTCCCAGCGAACCTGAGACACCCAAAGCCCGAACTCGAAACCCGAGACCCTAAATCGCAAGTCCGCAGCCCTGCATCCCGCTATAAGAAGGAAGGTCTCTTAATATAGCAAGACCAGAACACATTCCAAAAGTCTGCCAAAACTTCATGGTGGCCCCTATGCTTGCTATTCTGCTTCTCCGGCCCAAAGCCTTTCACCACATTTCCTGCACCCGAAACCCTAAACCCCAAACCCTAAACCCTAACGGCACCCTAAAAAACACCCAACCTCGAAAGAAGCACAGGTGCTCACAGACCTCAAGCTGAACCCAGAGACCGTAGAGTGGAAGGTGGGGTTGAAGAGTTTAGGGTCCAGGGTTTAAGGTTTAGGGTTCAGGGTCTAGTTTGGAGTTCAGGGTTTCGGCTTGAGGGTGCATGCGGGGAGACTTGGCTCAGGTCCTCGGACTTGGCAATATTATTTGGGCATGAGAGTAGTATGACTATGGTTTAGGGTTTAGGGCTTAGTACGTGTGAATAAGACGGAACCTCACTGGTCCCAAAGGAATGTTCAAGAATACTCAGCTTGGCTTCTCAACGTGTTTGAATCCCGACGTGTCAGCCCTTGCAGAACAAGCTACGGGGCAAACTCAACTCTTTTTTCTGAACAAAACAGCCTCCGGATTCGGGCGCCTGGTACTCGATGCACGAAGGGCATGCCTCGCACGCACTCCCCCCACCTGGCCCTACAAGAGCCAGGTGCCTCGAGTGATGCAGGAAAACACCTCAGTAACGTGCCTCTTCAAGGCCTAAAATCACTACGCATGTCCCTTCTTGTACCGCCCGATCTCTGTCTCTTCAACGACAGCACCAAAACACAGGATCAAAAACTGGGAAACTGCAACGGTCATAGACTCACGGTTGTTGTTGTGAGCCCCTCTTAGAGGTTGTAGCCGAAGCCCCAGCAATCCCTACACTTTAAACACGGAAAAGGGGGGGACCCAGAAGAAGGACTCTCACAGCGCTACTGGCTGCTCTAAAAGCCCTAACTTACAGTTAGATAGAGCCCTGCCTCCGTTCTCCCCAACTACCCAAGGCTATTTTCTATGTTTAACGAGTTGACACGGTTAAGACCTCCTCAGACTGCTTTGTGACATCTGGGCCCCATACTACATCCAAGGCTCCAACTAATATCACTCTGAAGAGGACTCTTCCGACACATCACCTCCCTCAACTTGAGCAAGCCAAGATCCGATCAACCCTTCAAACCTAGACCGAACCGCCTCTGGATACCCATATGCATCTACAGGATACCCGGCCCGCCAGAGGGAATAAAGGATGTGTGCCCTATGGCGTACACTAGGTCCTAACGGCAAGGGAACTACCGACATGGCTCCCGTTTGGGTGCCCTGGTCTTTAAACTCATTGCGAGCCCTCCAGGCTCTCCAACAGCCTTTTGCGACTTCCCAGGACACTACACTCAAAAGAACCTTGCCAGCCTCCCACATTGTAGACCCATCGCACCCTTCAAACCCGGCTTCACAGGGCTCCACATCTGGGGCATCCGGACCGCTAACTGCGACTAGATGCATACTTACAGCGGAACACTGGTCATTCTGAGGGCCCCAAGTCTCATCCAAACTTCCCGCGACAACCTTGATGCATCCCCAGAAGAACCAAACTATCCAAAGAGCAACCCAAATCGCACTCCAACTAAGCCTCGTATGTCCAAAACCCCGAAACCTTCGACGCCGGATCAGAATGTCTGAGCTACTGCTCGGTAACTCCTCCTCTTCATCCGGGGCATCACTTACGGGTTCAGGAAAGATAGCTTGGAACGTAGCCCAATCCCCAGTGTGCAAACCATGAACAACAGCAGCTACATCGGTTTGACTCCACCCTGGAAGTGGCACAGCTACCGTGTCATCAGCATAGGTGCACAACAAAGCGCCCTCTACCGCTTCGTACACAGGCCCAGTAGGAGCCACCACCGCGGAACTTACAGGTCCCACAAGGCTCTGGCAGTGACTTCCCGCGGACCGACTGCTACCATCCTCCGAGCTAGCAGTTGGTGACACTACCGAAGGTTCCGTAGTCGAGCTTTCAGACCCATCAGACTCCGAAGACGATTCACCTAACAAGGCTTGACCCGCTGGACCGAACCTAAGGACCCCCGGGACCTCCAACCTGGGTAACAAAGGCCTCTCATCGATTTCTTCGTCGTCTTCGAAATCTGACGCATCAGCGGGCTGATCTCTTTCCACATCGGGCTCAAACGGATATTGAACCGTACCACTTTGTAGATAGGCATTAGCGGCATCGTAGGTCAGCTGCGACTGCGCCATACGCAACTGATACACTCGTCTCAACCATATCGAGAGAGCCAACGTAACCTGGCTTCCAAACCCAGTTGCAACAGCCCTCAAGTATCCCCAGGAAGATACACGGTCCCCCAACAAATCCAACACCAACCATCCTATCGTCATAAAGACCCTTAAAAGATAGTGCGAAGACACCCCGGGAGGGCCTTCCACATATGGAAAAACGAATGATCGATCTTGGACCGTCGTAGGTCCTCCTAATCCTCGCGACACCGAGCTCACTGCCATAGGGGGCCCAGTCAAAACAAACTCCTCCGTGGCCAACAACCACTGGGGCCCATTATACAAAATCGACTGCGGACCACGCCGTAACACTTCGACTACCGCGAACACTAGGGCATACCGAATCCCTGCAGACACCGCTCGCAACCTTAACCACTCACTACTCCTCTCTCCCAAAGACCACAAGATCCCTTCACCCCACTGAGATAACAGCTGGACTAAGTAATGCGTAACCAACCACGACCCTACATACGGAAATTGGTCAGTCAGCATGCCTTCAGCGGCATAATCTTCATAACAGAAATCTGGTCCAGGAGCGACTGCCATCCCGTGACTACTGGAACTACCTCCCACCTGCACCTGCGGGCTAGGCACACCAGTCACCTCTGCCTCGTCCCTGAACTCACGAGTGGATGTCGAGCCAGAGCTCCCCCCAAACTGCACGGTGGTACCAGAGCGATCATGCGGCCTAGAATCTTCTCTGAAGGACGCATCCGAACCCCGAGGATCTTGAGAGCCAGAGCTCCCCCCAAACTGCATGGTGGACCCCGAGCGATCATGTGGCATGGAGCTCCCCCCAACCTGCGACCCAGAATCCAAATGATCCGAAGCATGCAGCCCCGAGAATCTCCAGCCTGCACCCAAACCTTGAAAGACAAAAGTCACCTCCGCTTGGCCCGGAAATTCACCCGCATACAGCCCAGTATCCCTCAGCTGCCGGAGCAGCCTCATCAACGCTTCACTGTGAAACGTCGAGGCCGTCACACTCAAAGCCGCCCACTCAGAAGCAGAACACCCTAGCATGTCAACCAGAGCACTACCCCACAACCCTAAGAACCAACTTAAAAAGGTGGAAGCTTCCAACAGCCCAGAACCTGGCGGTTCACTGCCGCTTGCATCTCCAGCGTTCAACACCACCTCATCACCACCATCATCAGCAGCACAACCACTCTCAGCTTCTCGCGGGGAACCCAACCCAGTAAACCAGGTCGGTGCGGGTCCGAACCGTTGCATAAAGGTAGGGGGCTCCAAAACCCCTCCAGACTCCAAGACCCTCCTAATCTTGGCCCTCTGCACAAACGTAAGCCCGGATTCCCTTTCCATCGTCTCGAACTTAGCCTGCGCAGCCGCCCATTCCTCAGCACTAAACTCATCATCATCATCATCGATAGCTTCTTCTTCAGAGGCATCTAACCCAGAAGGTGCTGGCTCAAGATCGCCCTCAACACCCAAATCATCGGTACCCTCAACCCCGCAGCCGGTGCCGCTACCCTGAAGCCCATAGCCCCCAGAAAGCCCCGGAAGCGTCCCAAACAGCCACCGCCAACCCCAGCAACTGAACACTGCCAAAACTAGGACCCCGAAGAACCACGAAAGCCACCCCGAACCCACATCAATCCGGTCTTCAAACGGTTGGCCCTTCACACGAGGAAGCATGGCCAAAAGGACCAGACCTGCCAAGGTCTTTGCTAGGTCATCTACCGAATGCCCCTCTTCAAGGCATAAACGACTAAGCACACGAGCGGTTTCAGCGGAATCCTCCGATACAGTCCTTATTCTTATATTGATTAAATCTAGAAGTCTAAGGATACGGGGACGGGTAAGCGGTTTGGTTCCAAGGTCCGCGATCAACTGCTCTCCTGGCATATGAGATACTCTTAAAAGATTGGCAGAGATGCGTTCCCGGGCCGCTGAGGCCCTCATTCTCAGGTGTCGGCTGCGCCAACCGCTTGGCGACAGTTCAAATGATCTGAGCGCTGCTTCGTTGTCGGCATAAAGTAAGAGGACGGAGTCCGCTTCTACGACCTCCTCTATGAGGGGTTGGATGGCCTCTCCTCTCTGGATGCCCACCACCATAGTCACGAGCTCCGATTCTGCGCTAGAAAGCGTTGTGAAAGCTTGCCTTGTCACTTCCCAAGCCAAAGGTACACTGCGCCACACTATGAAAATCGATTGCATGGAACGGTCCCCACCAGGGCTATGAGAAGCGTCGGTATACAACTCCAGTACTCGATCAGTTCGCGGAAGCGCCAAAAGTTCATGGTTCGAAAAGGTGTCTCCCAACTGAAACGGCACATCTATCCCCATATCAATCGTCGACTTCAAGTATTCAAGAGCTTGTCGGCCCATCGCAATCGAGAGCAAAGGCGATTTCGTCGCTTGTTGTCCACATCGTGCCACAACATAAGCAATGTCTGGCCGCGTACGCGTCGACAGCCACAACAACGCTCCGGTCACCGCCTGAGCTTCCCTGATTTGATCAACCGTAGGCGAATCTGCCCCTTCGGGTTCCGTCCACTTGTTGATCGGTACACTGGCCTCGGTAGTAATCTCGTAGCGGTTGAGAAGTTCCTGTATGTAGGCACGCTGCGTCATGCGGTAGCCTGCTTCCCCTCTCGATAGTTCTATGCCGCAGAAAGTCACCGGTCGCTCGCAAATCCACTCCGGATCGCTAGTCTTCCAGCGGGCCTTTATGGCAAGAATAAACTGACTGCACAGATCTGCCGGTCCAAAGAAAGCAAGATCATCTACATACACCACCAGGATCCCAGCTGTATCACCAAGGCTCCCATCCTTAAAGGTCCTAGCCAACCACAAGGCATCATCAGACTTCATTTGCGTTAGTCGGTACGTGACCCCTTCGGACACAATTTCCAACTTGGTAAACTCCTCATCCCTGTAGCGACCCCAGTCCTTAGGAGAGGTAGGCAACCCATACAGTGCTTTACGGATCCACCACCTATCGTCCCTACCCAAGAGACCTAACTCTACGAGAAAACTAGGGGGCTTAACCACTATTCGCTCCTCCTTACCCTCGTAGCTACTGCGAATGGGAGCATACAAGAAGGCCGATTTCACATCTATGGTCACTCCGATCCAAAGGATAAATCGCGCAGCAAACGTCAATGCCACTTTCACCGATAGCGCTTCTGCACCCGAAGCGTAGAGATCTTCACGTGTAAGCCCAAGTTTCTCAGTAGGAAGGTAATTCCCGCAACACACCGCCCTACATCGCCTTTTCCCGGTCCCGGATTTCCGGGTAAGGACAACCTTTCCAGGGAGCTGCACCACGTTGATTCCTTCACTAGCCCAACGGTCTACCTCAGCAGCCTTAACCCTATCAACCGCCCGATTAGTGGTCTCTAAACTACTCACCTCATCGGCAGCGGGCTCCTTCCATTTATCAAGTTCACGACGAGCTTCCGACAGACCTACGGACCTTGTTTGCAGAAACTGATCAGGACCTACCTCGCTAAGCGGTACCTCGGCCTGAAGGGCCCCAACCCGAATCTCCTGTTCAACCAAAACCTGCTCTGCCCAGTCACACCAAGCCTCAGCCCTCTTAAGCTGAACAGAAACTCCCTGGAACCCTTCATCAAAATCCAAAGCTTCGCTCATCTCCTCCGCTAACAATCGACACAATCGAGCCGTGCACTGAAGTTCATGATCAAAACCATCCCTGACACACTCCGACAAAGGCGTAGGGACGGCCACTTCCCACTTCAAGTCTACGGCATTCAGATTCACAGGCTCGGGTTGCGCAGAAACAGCTGGCTCCGGACCAACAAACGCAGACCATCGTGCTCGTACCGGATCAACCGGAAAACCTAGGTCCCTTAAGCGATCCCAATCCTCATCCCGGGTATCCCTAATATCCCTAGGCACAAAAGCTGAGACCACCCACCTAGAATCCCCAGCCCACAATTCAGGCACATGCCACCTGTCCCCGGAAAACACAACGGGTTCATTACGGATATCATAGACAGACCCAGGTCTCTTGAGTCCCCCTGGGAGCTCTTTACACACTGGTCCATTCAGGTCCTCGCTTTCAACCCAAAGACCACCCCCAATGAACTCACCTACAGCCCGTACCAAAATATCAAAACCCTTAGCATTTCTCAGGTCCCGGTGCAATGGCATCACAGTATTACGCGACACATACAGAGTTGTCCACAAGTGATCAGGATTTTGCTGGTGTACGAAGTGATTAAGGTACCTCGTCAGGTCCGGATGCTCCAAGGCCATCTTGGATACCCCATGGAATCCCCCAACGCCGTAAAGACCTAGAACCACTGCTTGGCCTTGTCCCTTAATCATGGACCTACGGGCTACCGGCATATTACGAAGCCCAATTTCCAAACCCTTAAAACAATTCTGAGCCGAACAGGCTTCCTCTTTGCCAACGCTCTTCCACCACTGAACAAACTCCGTATCTTCTACTTTCACCGCTGCAACAGTAATATCCGGGCAATCAGGCTGAGCGACAGCTTCACTCATCGGCTCCAATCGTTCTACTTCGAATCCCTCACCTTCAGTTTCGACCCAGCCATCTTCATCGAAACCACCACCACATTCAGGATCCCAAAAAAGACCGATACCAGACCACCCTTCAACTAAATCACCATCGAAATCCAAATCATGTTCCTCGACCGACACCACATTTTTTAACTCACCTGCAGAAGAGGCCCCACACCACTCCCCCCCAGGTGATAACCTGGCATTATCGTCGGTCAAAACCGTAGTAAGATCCTCAGCAGCTACGACCCGCAACGCGAACGGCGGGGAGCGCTTCCCCACGAGGCGATATCGAGGTTTCGCAACTGTATCAGAGGTCCCACGCAAAGGGTAAACCGTATTGGTCAGCAGCACTCTATGCTCTTCCCCCTCCGGAACCAACACCAAATGGCCACCCGGCGTGCAAGGGGCCGGCCCAAGGTAAATCGCCTCCACAGTGCGCGACTCCCATTGAGAGTCAAACCCAGTGCGACGGCGACGACGAGCATGAAGCTTAACACCAAAAGGCAACAGTGGAGCCTGAGGGTTACCAATAGCTTCGTTGAAGTTTACCCAGTTACGCGCAGACCCATGCAGGAGCGCCAACGGCCAGAACTGTTTCTGAAGGCCAGACACAACAAGCAGCTTGCGGACGAACCCCTTTAAACTCTGTACAGCCAACTCCGCACGATTACCAGCAGGCGACTCGCCTGCCGTCCAGGTGCCGTGGATGCCCCTATCCTTTATCCACGTAGTTAATGCATGTGACCTAAGCTCTTTCGCACGGTCCGCATGAAACCGTTGAACGGGAAAGCCTGCCGCCTCCAGTCTGTTAATCATACTTTGAACGTGCGGCAGAACCTCGCGCCCATGCTTCGATCGGATAGGCACACCCATGAACAGAGTCTTATAACCCTTGTGCTCTTCCAATGCAGGAGACTCGCCCGAATCGGCAGGCTCAGGCTGTTTACCCTTAACTCTGTGAGTCACCGCTTTAAGCTCTGCTCGCACCTCTTCCAACGACAATGGAATTTGGTCCAACTCCCGAAACAGTTCATCATCAGCTCGAGCTCCCTTATCACCATCAGGATACTTAGGCACAAATCCCTCCGATTCAATCGGCACCATATGCCCACATTCTTCAGGTACAGGATCAGACCCCTCAGAAGTATCGGGACTCTCAGTAACAAAGGTGCTCGGAATAGCGTAGGCAAAAGCTAGAAAGTAGCAGTACCCTTTACCCTTATCCCTCCCACTCGCCTCTACATCCCAAGACAAGCCAGAGATCAAGGGACCCGCTACATCGGCACTTAGGGAGTGCACACCGGGAAACCCGGACCGCCAATGGGATCGTTGTCGGCCCTGGGCTTGTATACATACTGGGCACCCTTTACGATAAGGTACATGATCTTGTTGCACATGTCGCTTATACGACTCCTCCTCAGAGAGCTTCCTCAACACTACCTGTCTTTCACGTACCTCATCAGCACGGGACTGTTCCCATTTCCATAACACCCAGCTCCTCTGAACCAAGTTGCATAAACCCCGGGACCAACACGGTTCCCCGGATGACGAATCAATCCCCGCTTTACCGTGAGCGTTATTCCACGCCACCCTTAACTTATCATCTACCCGAACTTCATGTACCGCCTCAAACAGGAACCAAGAACTCGTAATCAAGGTAGTCTCACAAATCCCCAGTAGTCCGAAGCACCCTTGATCGAAAGACGCTGAACGCAAAGCGTAGGTCGAGAGAAACAGCGACTTCTCGGACGCAGCAGCGCCCAAACTCCCGCACTTAGACCACACACTTGTATCCATAGCAAAGAAGACCCCACTCAGGTCTCCCCCACTCTCCGGAAGTGGGGTGCCTATCTCTGACCCCGCTACCTTAACCTCAGCATCCCTGACGGCCTGTGCTACCGAGAACAGCAAAACCATCCTCAAATACCTCACGACCTCATCTTCCTGCAACTCTTCTGAGGACTCAAGCCCCTGCTCAACTGTCTCAGGACCCTTTACAAATCCTCCTAGCACTCCCTGCTGAGCCCACCTCATAAGAAGCCTAAACACCAACCTAGAGCCCAAGCCCCTTTCAGTATTAGCCACAGGGAGCACTCGTCCCATACCCTTCCAAGCAGAAGCACTCGGGGTCACCAACATCATAACCGAACCCATACTTGCACGAGTCATTGACCTCCGTAATCTTCGATTCCAAGGCAAGTCCGACCAGTCATTATACCCAGGATCCAAAGGCGATGCGCAAACCCTCGCTAAAACCTTACCCGAAACCTCCGGGAAAAGACTCCGCAGGAAAACCAGTTGGTCAATGTCAGTAAGGCCACCAGACCGCATCCCAACCCGATCTCGCAACCATTCCCGAGCACACCCTGAAGTAACTCCCTGCACCAAATCATAGGCCTCAGCCTTGCTTACGAGTGCATCACCTCTCCTTTTGGCCTCATACTCCTCCAGAAGCTTCAAACCCACAGCCTTAGGGATCAACGGGCAACCCTTCACCACCGTGACGTCCAGAGCACCTTGCTTCCTATGCTTAACCTTACAACTACCACGGCGCCAACAAATAGAATACCCAAGATCCACTAAGTAGCTCGCCGGAAGAATGACCTGGCAACCCCCATTATGAAGCAAGGTCCCCTGGGCATTCACCCTAAGTTCAGTACCCCCGCTTGCCAGATCAACACGAATGACGCGGCAATTGTCCGCCTCTCCAGGTCCCGCAGGGCGTAGAGCGTTAGTGGCTCCGGAGTCGATCAGGGCAAACGACGGGTCAGAGGCGCTGACAAGAGCGCTTCTCAGCCAGGAGACATCGATATCCTCTACATGGAGAGCCCTCAGAGAAACCCCTTTAAGGATCTTCGTGGCTTCTGCGACGAGCGCCTCCTGACTCAAGGCTGCACTCGCACCGGCCGCCGCCGAATTAACTGCAGCGCCAGCGGAATCACCCTTGGCTGAATCCTCAGTCACCCCTTTCGCCTGAGCCCCCGCCTTTACCTTGGCCTTAGCCTTAGGAGAGCCCTTACCACCCTTCGGGGACCCATCCGAACCCTGATCACTAATCACCACCCTATGTTCAGGAGGAACCAGTGGGCATTCCGGTCGCATGTGTCCGGGCTGTCCAAAGGCCAAACACTTGCCCTCTCGACGGGCCTTCGCTCGGTCGTGCTTAAACCGACAGCTGTCGCCAAACCGGCATCCAGAGGAGTCTGAAAACTTGTGGCAAAGTGGAGCCTCACTCTTACCTTTACCCTTACCCTTATCCGTAACCTCACCCGCACTAGGACTCACCGCAGCTACCTGAGGGGAGGTCTGGACCGAAGTCGGAGGTACAGGAGGAGGCGCCTTATTCGGAGCACTTGGAACCCCGGGGACACTACCCTGGTCCCTGGTTGCGGCTGCCGCAACCCTGGTACGCTTGTCAGCGCCAGCATCAGATGTGATAACTGCCGACTCACACTCCGCTTGGATAAGTCTGACTAGCTGGATCACACTAGATACAGTAGGGTTATAATCAATCGCAAGTTGGTGCCTGAACGCGTTAACCCTAAACCCAATCATCGGATGAGCGCTAAGCAGCGCAGAAGTCGATAAGTCCACACCCCGAAGGAGCAATGACGGATCCGGAAGTGTCGCATGTATCTCGCTGGCTCTCTGCAACCCCTGCTGCCAAGTCCGAAGGCCTTTCACCGCCTCACTAAACGACTTACATACACTAGGATTAACCAACTGAGACAACAAGTGCGATCGTTCACTGCTCCCTCCAGGTTGAAACAAGCACAGCACTCGGAATAGAATCGCAGCACTGCTGAGCCATCTGTTTGTCACCACGTCATCCCGAATGGACTGAGGAACCGCGGCAAGCAAAAGGCTCACAGACCTACTTTCGACTCTCCCATACAAATGCTGATCGAAATCCCCTACTATAGTCGATGGGTCTACAGCAAGACGGCCTAAGGGATCGGCTACTAGCCACCTACGGTACGCCGCGGTGGCTGGTCCTTCGACCCCCTGCCACCAAACTGACGCGCTCATCGATAAGCCCACCATTATCTGACGCACTTGCGCCAACCAGTTGCCACAGACCACTGCCGAGTTGGCTAAATCGGATTGATTTAACTTAGGTAGTTCAGAGATATAGCGGGCCGGCTCTTCAGGGCGGGGAAGGTCTTGACCCTTAGTGCCGTACCCTGGGACCCCGCCTACATCGAGAACCCTGGACCCCTGAAGCCCTTCCGTTCCCGAGACTCCAGACAAACCTGCAGCCCCAATGGAGCCCGGCACACCCAAACTACCTGGAACCCCGCATCCTGCTGGACTATACCCAAATCCCGAATGCGCAGCTCCTCCCTGTAGCCCGGTTAACCCAGCTGGCAATTGTCCACACCCTAACCTAGCCAACTCCTGATCCCTCAAAGCTCCAGGTACCCCTGAAACCAGTTCCCCTAAACCCAGGCGGCTGGTGGGCGCACCTGGAAACGAAGTCGCCGTGCTCGCCGCAGCCGCCGGCGGCAAAGGAGGAGGCTTTATGGAAGTTCCCCCCGGGGATACCGGGTATCCCTCCGCATCAAAACCTGAACCTCCTTCCCTACCCCCTCGAGGAGTATGGAAGCTCAACAACTCCTGACCTGCAAGTTCTCGGGCCCTAACCTGTTCCGTAAATTGTCGCATGGTTTGGGGTTCGGGAGTTATTGCAGTTGAACCCACACAAGCGCTCTGGGGCGTCAAGGGCGGCAGGGGCAACGGAGGTGGAGGGAGCCTACAGGTTCCTTCTACCGGGGCTCTGGGCAAACCTAAAGAGTATGATGCGAAGCTCTGGGCCTCTAGTTCCATAAGACTTGCTCCTGCAGGATGGCCCATCCCAGAGTGTGGTCCTCTCATGAGGCCTCCCTCCGTAACCGGCGTAGGCCCTACATTACAACCACCCAACCCACGACCCTCGTGACCCGGGAAATCGCTAGCCAGAAACGCCTGTACAGCACTACCAGATCTGGGCCCAAACGTGGCCGGGGAAAAAGATTCCGGAACAGCTCCGCTGCCCCACTCAGGAGCTGCGATCCCGCTATGCCAGCTGGAATGAGACCGCGACTCAATTTCCAGCCTTCTCTTCAGACTCTTGTTCTCCGCCACCACTTGAACCAATAGGCTCTCTAGCCTTCCCAAGCGATCCGAATCCGAAGCCGGGATCAACTCTCTCGCATCCTCAGGGCCAAAAGGGTCAGGACCCAACTCATCCACAGCTGACTCCTCTGCTTTATACACCCGAGGGGGCGCAGACAAAGAAGTCTCTTGCGGAGCACCACCAGGAAAGGTTGCCGCCATATTCCCCGTCGCCCGCGGACTACCCGCAGTAACATCCACCCGGGCCACTCTGGGAGCTTCCCGAAATCCTTCCCCTCCTCCAAGGGCAGCTGCATAGTTAGGCTCTCCATCATCCCCAGGTCGGGTTTCCCCCAAAGTAGGGGCATCAGGATCAACCCTTAGCCTTCGCCCATCATCATCCAGCGAGGTCGGCCTGTTTCGGATTAGCTCGACCTCCGTCCGGACTTTCTCAGAGTGGAAGGGATTCGCCACAGGCAGATGTTCATCTACTGCAGATGTGGTCGCCGGCTCACCAGCAACTTGCATCTTGGCTTCACCACTCTCCAGAGTGCCAGGAGACGCTTCTCCTGGCAGTATGCCATTCAAAGAGACGCTACCGGTCCCTCTGACGGGCCCTGCTGCAGGACCCCCTTGACTCAAGGCTGCTCGGTATTCCTCCTCGCTCATGCCATCATCCGGCTCCCCAGCACCGCTTGCCCTCCTTCGACGGCTCAACGGATCCATGGCCGAGAACTACGGATAAGAACACAAACCCTACAATGTTTAGTCCGAAAAACTCAGCTAGAAAAGCCGACTTACGGCTGATAACCTACGTGTGAATAAGACGGAACCTCACTGGTCCCAAAGGAATGTTCAAGAATACTCAGCTTGGCTTTTCAACGTGTTTGAATCCCGACGTGTCAGCCCTTGCAGAACAAGCTACGGGGCAAACTCAACTCTTTTTTCTGAACAAAACAGCCTCCGGATTCGGGCGCCTGGTACTCGATGCACGAAGGGCATGCCTCGCACGCACTTAGGGCTTAGATTTTAGGGTTTAGGGCGCAGGGTAGTTGGGCATGAGAGTCGGGTGCCACTAGCACGGTATTGACTGAGGTTCAGGGTATTGGTGCCTCGAGCTGACGGTATGCAGTCTTGCTCTAAGGGGTTTGGGACATTTTATATTTTCCCTTATTGGGCTTAAGAGGATCTTACTTAATACTATTTTCGAAGGCTTTCAAAGCCCCACCTACTGCTGGTGTTGCAGAGGCTTCCAGTTCCCAGGTTAACAAGGTGGGAGCCCGGACCCTACTTGGAGGTTCATGGGTAAGAATACATAATAAATGGGGCTATACGTCACTTAATAAGGGTTATAACCATAGTTACCCTGATTATAACCCCACTTATAACTACCCATGAACCTGCAAGTAAACCCTTAAGCTCCACTGCAGACGCCGCATTTCCCAGGTCCCTCGCTACTTCCTCGACGGCAAGGAATGCCGCGAGGAGATCGAGGACAAGCAGCACAAGATCGATCATTGCCGGGGGTGCCCAGCTGCGATGTGCCTTTACAACGAAACCAAGCCCCTGCGCAATTCGGAAATTTCCGAAGATAGGGGACCCTCATATAGCACCCGAATAGTAGGATCCGTATTATAAGGACCCCAAAAGAAGGTACCCCTAACTTTCGGAAACCCCCATTCTGTGTTTTGCCTGAGTTCTGCATCGACCCATACCTTAAGCCGGCCAGTAGCGTTACATTCCCCTTCTGGGATCCTTCGGTTGATGATATAAATCCTGGGACTCCTTTAAAGGGATCTATAAAGGGTACCTTTAAGGGGCTCCTTTAAGGATCTATAGGGTTTTAGGGTTTAGGGTTGAGGGATATAAATCCTGCATGACCCATAATAAGGAATATACCATAATTCCTATAGTTTAGGGTCCTTAAGGTAATGCCCTACACTGCGCAAAGCCGAGCGTTAACCTCAAGATGATCCCAACTATGTCATCTACCGCCCAAGCGCTTTCGACAATGGAAGCCCATTCCACAGAAAAGCCATAAACCTCTAACCCCGGAGCCCTGAACCCAAAGCTCTGCAGTTTTAGTGTCTGGGGGTTTGGGGGGTTGGCTTTCAGGGGTCAGTCGGAGGTTGACATGGTGTCAGTTAACAGGGTCCACCGGCAGTTCTGCCGGGGTATGTTTGCTATCTGCTTTCTGTTCTACAGCTTCTTTTGCAGGGCTCGGCCGCAGATTCATTGAAGCGACCGATTGAAGCAGGGGGGGAAGAGTCTCATCGCTGAGTTATGCCCCTGGCACACTCGGGTACAGCACCTTTGTAAGTGGAGTGCAGCACACCCGGGTCCCGGAACCCTCAGCCCTAAAACCCGCAACCTAACTCTCGTCCCTGGTTTCAGTACCCGGGTTGGAGCACTTGGGGCTTTGCTTGGGCTTTCAAGCACTAAATCTGAGCTTCTGAGCCTTGGGAAATATGACAGATCTGGACCTGGCGTTCAAAAGCTGTAAGCTTCTAGGGTATTTCTAGCTTCATCTTAAGCCCTCAGCCCGTGAGGTAAGCCAAACCCCAAAGCCCCTAATCCCCCAAATCCCAAGAACCCGAGAGCGCCCAAAACCCCAAATCTGAAAACCCTAAAGTCCTTAATCCTGCACCCCTAAACCCTAAGCCCCTAAACCCTAAACCCTAAGCCCTAAACCGTAAACCCCAACACTAAACCCTGAACCCCAGAGCCCTCCGAGAGCCCTGAGCCTTACGCTTTTCAAGGGCTCGGCGTCTTCGGCATGCCTTTGGTGCCGGACGACCTCCTGGACAAGAAGGACCCCTTCGAGGCGGACGGCTGGGCATTGCTGTATATATATATATATATGCATGTATGTATGCTTGTGTATATGTATTGTATAATAGGTGTTGCGTACTTGTGTTTATATTTATATATCTGTATGTTTATGTATATGATAATATGGATAGGTATATGTATGTATATGAATGTATATGTATGTTTTCGTATGTATATGTACAATTACACCAACAAGTAAATATAAGATACACATGTACATGTAGATGTAGACGTAGACGTAGATGTAGATGTATATGTATGTGAATATGTATATATCTGTATCTGTAGATGTATTTGTACGTGTGTGTATTCGCGTGTGCATGTGGACATGCATACGTAAACACACGAGTCAGTGAATACTTGTTAGATGTAGATATATAAAAGAAGCCCCACACACACATGCGCAAACAACGAGCGCATGAGAGAGAGAGAGAGAGAGAGAGAGAGAGAGAGAGAGAGAGAGAGAGAGACAGAGAGAGAGAGAGAGAGAGAGAGAGAGAGAGGGGTGGGGGGGGCTTGCGACGCCCTCCAGGCCCTGCAGAAGAAGAAGGGGCAGGTGAGCCTCAAGTACTATTGAGTCTTTATAGAACCCTATAAGCCCTTCGAAAGTCCTCGTTTACATGTTGTAGCCTAGATTATGCGAGCGTTTCTGCCAGGTGGGGCTTACGACAGACCAAGCAGTGCGGGGCTCGGATTTCGGGGCCGGGATTCTCTACGGCGTGGGTGGAGGCAAATCAGGAGCTTTTCCAGGGATTCTTTCCTTCAAGTTCTTGAGTATTTGGACTTCTGTATTTTTTGTAGGGATCCGCCGTTCTCTGAAACTTCCATGTCCTTTCTGGCAGAGAGGGTCGGCTAAGTGGGCTTCTTCCCGCGCTTCCGCCAAAGATGAGCGCTCCTGAGAAGCCTTGGGGACGTGCCCCCTAAACCCGATCTGAAATAATACGGTTGATGATATAAATCCTGCATTACCTTAAGGACCCTAAACTATGGGAATTATGGTATATTCCTTATCATGGGTAATGCAGGATTTATACCATCAACCTGCCCCCACTCAGTAACAGCTCAATAGTAGCCCTATTGTAGACTGTTAGTGTATGCGGGCAGCACCAAAGTAATAGTAGTTATAGTGCTACTAATTTCAATTGTAATTTAAAGGCCCTGTATACTGTATACTATTCTTGTTTTTGCGGTACTAATTGTTGTTTCCATTGTTATTGTTGTTATTATTGCTCGTTTTGCTATTATTGTTATTGAGGACTGTTCTTTTCTTGTTCTTATTGCTATTCTTGTTATTAGTGCTGCCATTTTAGCCAGCGGGCCTTCTACCTGGCTGAGCCTTTTAAAATGGGATATCTTTGTTGTGCTCCTTTCGTTTCTCAGGATCCCACGAATCAGGATTTTACTGAAATTCGGTTCCCCGAGGTCGCCATCATCCAGAAGAACGCATCCTGGCTGTGGGTTTTGGGGGAGCTATATACGGGTTAAGGGTTTCGGGTTTGGGATCCATGCGATTGGTCATGCGGGTTTAGGATTTAAGGTTTGGGGAGGTCGGCTGAGCTCTTGATTGCGAACTGGGGCCCCAAACCCAAACCCCAAAACCCTAAAGCCCTAAAACCATGTAAAACCCTGAACCCGAAAGCCGGAGCCGTCGCTTCTGCGGACGGCTGGCTCTCGAAGATGTATAGGGCCTCTGCACCGGTTTGCCTTTGAGACTCCTTTCAGATTCCTTCCCTTCAGAGGCAACCTGTACGCTATGTTGTTCAACTTTGCTTGCGGGGGTCCAGTAATGCAGTTGCCACCCTAAACCCTAAACCCCTTAACCCCTAAACCCTAAACCCCTGAACCCCTAAACCCCTAAACCCCTAAACCCAAAGCCCCCCAGGAACGCGGACGGATGAACATCGTCAAAGCTGCCTGGAGCCCGGCTCCGAAGGGACGGTTTTCTTGGGGGGAGGCAGCCCACCGTCCTAAACTTAAACCCCTAAACCCTAAATCCCTAAAACCCTAAACCCTAAACCCCTGTCCCAGGATCACCGCGTGCAGTTCTTCAAAGCGTCTCGGAAGGAGGCATCCAAGAAGCAGGCCGCACCCCTGCGAAGTTGGTGACCCAGACTCCCTCCCCTAATGTAGGGGCGACAACAATCAGGTATCATAAAGGTTCCGAAAAAGGGGTGTCATAGAGGTTCCTTTGAGGGTTACTATAAGGGGTTAGTGTAGGGGCTTCAATAGTTAGAATAGGGTTTCGGGTTTATTTTACAGTTATAAAAGGAACCCCCAAAACCCCATTCTAATTATTAAGGCCTCTATGTTAGGTTCCTTACCCAAAACCCTTAAACTCCAAGCCCCTAAACCCAAGATCCCGAAAGCCAAAACCTCACCCTAAACCCTAAACCCCAAAAACCCTATAAACCCACAACCCCCAAGCCCAAAACCTCACCCTAACCCTAAACCCTAAACGCCAAAAACCCCTAATCCCTGAAGCTCCAAAATCCCGAAGCCCAAGACTTCACCGTAACCCTAAACCCTAAACCCCTAAACCCTAAGGCCCCAAAATCCCGAAGCCCAAGACCTCTACAGCCGAATACTTCTCGTATGCGCAGCATTCTTCATAGGGGCCCTTAGGGGGGGATACGGGGAGGGGGGTAGGGGACTCTACTTCTTGGCCTTCTGTCCTTCTTATAGGTCTTACGGGCCCCCTATCCCCCCTAAACCTCCCCCTTACCCCCCTAAGCGTCCCTATGAAGTCTTGTGCAAAACTGAAAGTACAATGCACCGCAAGGCTACGCCATGAAATCTTTAGCGACTTGAAACCCTCAGCCGCAGATCTAGTCACAAGCAAGCCGGCCTCCACATAAACTCCCCAAGCCTTAAACTCTTGAAATCGAATCCACCGCTGTATGATCTGACCCGGGACCCCCACAACTCTAATCCCATGCAGCCCTGGGCCCTGAACCCAGGCCCCAAACTTACCCAGAACCCCAACACTTTTCTTCAAAGCCGAAACCTTCTAAACCGAGAATCCTTATAGACTCCTTACTGTGTTCAAATACTCTTTCTGGAACCCTTGTAGAACCCATATAATGGAGCCCTTGTAGAGCCCTCATAAAATCCCTTCACGCTCAACTCTAAACCCTAAACCCTAAACCCTTGAACTCTAAACCTTAAGCTTGAGTTCGAAGCCGTGAACCTTAATCATTGCCTTCTCCCCAAACCCTACACCCCTAAACCTCCAAACTCTGCCTCGTAAGACCCTGAACCCTAAACCCTTAACCCTAAACCCTAAACCCTTAACCCTAAACTTTAAACCCTAAACCCCAAGCGGCAGGAGAAGGAGACTGCCGAGGACCCCTTGGAGAGCCAGGCCGGGCCTCACCCGAACCGCTTTCGGGGTTTCATGAGGGCTTCATGCCCTTAAGGCCTAGACCCCTAAAGTCCTAAACCCTAAACCCTTAAAGCCTAAACCCCTAAAGCCCTAAGCCCTAAGCCCTTAAAGCCTAGACCCCTAAAGTCTTAAACCCTTAACCCTTAAAGCCTAAACCCTTAAAGCCTAAACCCTTAAAGCCCTAAGCCGTAAGCCCTTAAAGCCTAGACCCCTAAAGTCCTAAACCCTAAACCCTTAAAGCCTAAATCCCTAAAGCCCTAAGCCCCAAACGCCTGTGCGAACCGAAGGTCCTGGCGGCAACTCG